AAAAAAATGTTAAAATTATTAAAATTAAAAGAAAATTGTTTATAAATATTATTTTTTTCTTTTACTCTTGCCAAATGGTCAGGCTTTATCCCTTTATTGTTGTTTTTATAAAAATAACTTGTTTATAAGTGCGGTCGTAAGATTTAGAAGACTTTCCAAAAGAATTTTAGTTGAATTTAATTCTTTGGTTCCTCTTCTATTGAGCTTACGATCTCGTCACTTGGGTAAAAAATGTTTTTTGTCATAGAAGTTATTTTTGAAATAACTTCTGGGGAGAATATCCCAGACAAAAAAACAAGGGAACTGATGAGGATTGGTGGCTCTTTCCGAAACCTAGGTATTCCCTGCCTTACCCCCTGGTAAACATTACCATCGTTCTCCACTAATCAACAAACGTTGTTTTTATAAAAACAACAATAAAGGGGATAAAGCCTGACCATTTTGCAACAACAAAATACTACGGTATCCCGAATATACAAGCAGCACTGTTTTATTTTTTTCTCTATTCAAAAATATATAGATTAGGCAAATAAATTCTATGTACTTAGATTACTAACCCAAAAAGAATCAACCTTGAAATTCGTTTTGAATTCATTAAAAATTACCATTTTCAATGGGGACCAACCACATCATTACCAATATCCATAAATCCAGTGAATGACTTGATTAACATACGATGAGTGGTGATATTTTGCAGTCAATTTAACTTTGTAAAAGTTCGTTTGATTTTCTTTTCATCTTTCGTAGTTCAAGTACGTGAGGTTCTACAAAAAAAATGTATTTTCACTTTTCCATGAATTGGTTTGCGTAAAGTTTTAGTTTCTTCTTTATTTTCTTTTATGCAAATATTGTTAGTCTACTAATGCCAGGACACAAACTCAGCATCCGGAGACTAATATTCTGCACGATTGCACCAACACGGGCAAATACACAAATGCACATGCAGGCACGCACAAACACACTCGCGTTCGAGTTCAACGAAAAAAAAAAAAACAACAACGAACTGGAACTATATTTAAACAATGTCAATGTCAAGGTAAACTGTTGTAACAACTACAACTTTACTGGCTGCTACCATCAATGTAAGCACCTCTCCCAGCACCTGAGTATGGATTACAATAACAACAGCGAATAGGTGTTTTATGAGTACTCAGACACGTACTGGGTCCAACAAGTACACTCGTCTGACAGCAGCATCATCACACATAATAAAACATCAATTGACAGGTGAGCTTGGCTATTTAGCTAGGCTCACATAAACACTTTTGGAATTCACTCACGTATTATCGTAACAATAAGCTCACACATTCACACACACACACACTAATACACCCGAAATGAAACACGATTGCAATGTAGTATTTTTCCAGATTTCATTCAGAGTCTGGCAATGTTAACGATAATCGTTAACGATTTTAACAAAAAAGAAAAGCAAAAAATGTCCCAAGTTGCTGCTGCTGTTATATCTTCGGTTCGTTGCGTGCCCCAAGAGCAGAGACAACCAAATGCTTTGGAAATACTTCACAAACTAAAATATGCGTTCAGACATCAATACGTCACAGGCACAAACATCGTGGTTCCGTTTTGTTGTTACTTGCCTGAGAGGCTTTGCGTGTATTAGTGTATGTGTGTCTGTGTGTGAATATGTGTGTGTATAAAATTGCTGTGGGGCAAAAAAGGCGCCAAAATGTCTACTTCTGCTGCTGGCTCCGCTTTAACGATGCTGTACCTTCTTCTACCCCCACACACACACGCTCGAACACTCACACGAATGGGTAAAAGTGAAAGCTAAACAAACACATTCAACAAGTTTTTGTTCGAATTCAAGGACAGCATAAATGAGAGAGAGAGAGAGAAAGAGCTCAGCTGAGAGAGGTTGTATGTGTGGAATGAATCAAGAAACATGTTGCTGAAATGGAAGAAATTTATGGAAAATTGTAGACTCGGATGTCAAGGAGGAAAGGGGTACTTTCACTTTCTACCCCAAAGAGTTGAAGAAAAAAGATGTTGCATGTAGCACAGTTAAACGCAAAACACAGGGTTAAAAAGGGTTTAAGAATTTTAATGTTTCTCTTCTCGAGAATCAACGGACTGATAAACGTGGATTTTTCAAAAATATTTATTCAAGACTTATAAAGAAGGATTTCTAGAAGAACATATTAACTTGGATGTCTTAAGAATATTTTTTCACAGACATATAGTCGTAAATTTAAGACAAAATTTCAAGGACTAAAGTAAATTTTGTCAAGGACCAACGTGGGCCAATGTACATTTTTTCCAGAAAGACCTGGATTGTCAAAGGCAAGAGGATTTTTTCATATGGATTTTTGTAAGACAAACATTAATTTTTTTAAAGACTTTAAAATGTGGATTCTTTTCCGGGAACAATGTGGATTTTTCTAGGAACAACGAGGACTTTTTTCAAGGTCATAAAAACACGAGTTTTTAAAAAAATGTTTTTAAGGGCCATCTTTGATTTTTTCAAATACCCATAAATGTGTATTTTTCCAGGACCAATGCCGATTTTTTAAGGACTAATAAATGTCGATTTTTTTCAACAATCAACTTGGATTTTTTCCACGACCTGGGTTCTTCAAGGACCTATAAACGTGGATTGTTTTAAGGACGAAAGTGTTTTTTAAAAAAATAAACTTCTATTTGGAAATTTTTTAAAAAAATATTTGCAAATGGTCAGAACGAGTATTTCAAAAAAAAAAAAATATTTTCAAGGACCAATTTGAATGAATCATGGACCAGCGTGGATTTTTTCGATGGCCAACGTAAATTTTTCAAGGACCAACGTGGTTTTTGTTAAAGGTCCTATTAACGTAATTTTTTAAAGATAAATGTTAATTTTTCCATGAGCTATAAAAATGGATTTTTCCATGAGCTATAAATATGGATTTTTCAAGGAGTTATAGACGTGAATTTTCAAAAACCTCCAAACGAGGACTTTTCCAGGACCTATAAACATGGATTTTGAAAAAATCTTTTTTCCAGGACAAATTTGAATGATTTTTTCAAGGACCTATAAAAGTGAATTTTTCCCTAACCTATAAACGTGAATTTTTTACGTGAAAAAAACGTTGATATTTTTATTTTTAATGATGTTGATTTGATTTTATGTCCAGGCCACACATGAACAATGACCATAATATCATATTTAAGATTTCAAGTATTTTCTGTTCACCCAATATCAAATTGTAACAAATATATTACTATTTAGTACCTTTCGTGCACCAAAACACCCTTTTTTCACAAACGAACCACCAACAGGAATCCCAGAACAAATTTTCAAAATTCCAGTTTCATCCGTTCTCCGTAAACCAAAGCGTTCCAAATTCTGTACCATTTAATACAGTTCGCACCTTAGTACACATTTCCAAAAACCATCTTCATGTATCGAACTTAATTTCCAACATTGATTTTCATACCAAATTTCAAGTTTTTAGCTCACATTGTACCAAAATAATTTAATTTTAGAAGTTTAGTACCATTTTAGAACTTTTCGTAACCTCATAGTTTGAATTTCCAAAAACTCGTTGGTACATCTATCCAGCACTCCATCAGTTATTCTTAATCCAAATATAAATTCTAAAATTATTTTTAAAGGATCGTGTGACCCGAAAGGTAAATTTCTTTAAATATTTTATAATGGCCATCTGTATGGTTTGATATTTGGATTTTATTAAAATTGCCTTTGGCTATGAATTTTCTCAAAATATTTCCAAAATTATCACAAATCTTGGATTTTATTAAAATTACCTTTTTTCAAAATATTTCTAAAATGATGATAAACTTGATATTGAATATTATTATTATTATTATTATTATTATTATTATTATTATTATTATTATTATTATTATTATTATTATTATTATTATTATTATTGTTATTATTATTATTATTATTATTATTATTATTATTATTATTATTATTATTATTATTATTATTATTATTATTATTATTATTATTATTATTATTATTATTATTATTATTATTATTATTATTATTATTATTATTATTATATTATTATTATTATTATATTATATTATTATTATATTATTATTATTATTATTATTATATTATTATTATTATTATTATTATTATTATTATTATTATTATTATTATTATTATTATTATTATTATTATTATTATTATTATTATTATTATTATTATATTATTATTATTATTATTATTATTATTATTATTATTATTATTATTATTATTATTATTATTATTATTATTATATTATTATTAGTATTATTATTATTATTATTATTATTATTATTATTATTATTATTATTATTATTATTATTATTATTATTATTATTGTTATTATTATTATTATTATTATTATTATTATTATTATTATTATTATTATTATTATTATTATTATTATTATTATTATTATTATTATATTATTATTATTATTATTATATTATTATTATTATTATTAGTATTATTATTATTATTATTATTATTATTATTATTATTATTATTATATTATTATTATTATTATTATTATTATTATTATTATTATTATTATTATTATATTATTATTATTATTATAATTATTATTATTTTTTGTAAGGTCGATTATATTGCCAATGAATATAACATTCATTTTTACATCTCTTGCGAAATCGGAATTCTGCAAATGGGGCTACCAAGTATGGCTTGCTAATATCGATTCGAATAAATAACACTTGAAAACTGTGTTATTTTGTTATTTTGTTGAATTCAAAAATAAAATTACATTTTTAACAAGTTCTAAAACTTACCTCAAAATTGCTGTTTACAATTGTTATCCAATTTCCATATCGTGTTGGTGTTGTTCAATATTTCCTTTACATTTTTAAACTCACCCAAGAAAAATGTTTAGCAACTTTTAAAAACCTTTATCAACATTTTCTTGTTTTTGGTACAACAATAATGCAAGCATATTTACGGCAGAGTTACAAAACGAATAGAGTGAATGAATAAATAGCAGACTTACCGTTAAGGCAATACCCACGGTGGCTGAAAACGAACCCAGACGAAATTCTCCTGTATTGTATTTGACAAGGAATGAGGTTTTTCCCACCCCCGAATCGCCCAGTAGAATAGTCTAAAATTAGAACAAATCACAATTCATCAGAAATAAATACCACCACCATTTTCGTGTCTTCACATCTTCAAACCCCCTTCTCCAACCAACAACTCACTTACCTTGTGATTCACCGTATCATCGAAGGGTGGCTGATGATGAACCGGTTGCTGGAACATGCCCACCTCATCGTAATGATACGAACGCCAGCCATCGTCGTAATCTTCTATTGTATAGCCAGCGTCCTCCAAGGCATACATTTGTAAAGCTTCTCTCGGTGGCCTATAGCCTGGATAGCCGGAGGGTGCCTGGGATCGACAGTATTCGGAGGAGGCCAATGCCCCATCGCCGTAGTAGCCGGAGCCGCGAGTATAGCTATACTGTTCCTGTTCTTGTTCCTTGCGGCGTCTGGCCTCCTCCACACGTCTCTGGGTGGTCTCCGGATCCTCGAAGACATCATCGCTCATGCTGCTGGCATCATCGGGTATTTGTGACATGTTGTTGTTGTTTTTTGTTAATTTATCTTTATATAATTTTTTTTTAATTTAAGATTAGTCTCGATAGTTGCTTGATTGGTGTTTTTGGTTGTTTTTTGTTATTTTTCTAAAGTTTGTTTTATAAACTTTTAAAGTTTTGTTTTTTTTTTCAAATTAATTGATTGTTTTGGTGTTTTGGTTTGTTTGCTTCTTTTGTCAAATTTTGCTTCGTTAATTTAGATTAAATTTTGGAGATATGTTTTCTTAAAAAATATTCAAATTTAATTAAATTTTTCCTAATTAGTTTTTGGTTTTAAAGTAAATGGTGGGAGTATTTTATTTTTTTGTTTTTTTTGAGTTTCCGTTACGAAAATCTCTAGAATTTTGTTTTTGTCTTTATATTAACAGTAGTAGAAGTAGAAGCTTTTATTTATAGGAAAGTTAATTCGAGTAATGTTGTCAGAGCTTTCGTTCTAAAGCTTTGCTAGACTTTTCTTAGTTTAAGTAGTTGTTGTATATGTTTTTGTTGTTGTCAGCATCCTTTTTCCGGTTTTGGTCCTTGTTATGGTGTTGCCTTCTTATCGTTAAGCTTTCAGCAGTAAAAGAAGCTTTAAGTTTAGTGGAGTTCCTGCAACAAAAAATTGAAATTGAAAATAAAGTTGTTGGTATGTCATAACTGTTATAATTATAGCGCAATAATAAGCAAAGTAAAATTATGCTCTGAAGCAGGAAAATTCGCAGGGTGGTGCTGTGGGTGCTACTTTTCTGCCATTTTTATGCCCTTCACCATACATAGTATGGAGGGTACATTAAGTTCATCATTCCCTTTGTAACTTATCGATATAATAATTTTAGACATAACAAAGTATATATATTCCTGATCAGCGTAAAATTCTAAGACGATTTAGCCCTGTCCGTCCGTCTGTTGTAATCACTCTAGAGTCAAAACGAATAAAGATAGTAAGCTAAAATTTTGCACAGATCAGTGTGCTATATCGGACCACGATCTCGTATAGCCCTATAGCGATACCCCGATATTCGTTTTTTGATAATTGTAGCCAAATTTTTCAATAAAATTGTCTGAAAATTTGTGAAAACTTCCTTCTGAGTACTTTACCCCCTGGAAGAGAATTCTCTATGTTGGTTCACGATATCGTTTATCAGATATAGCTATAGCTCCCATATATATTGTTCATTCGATTTGTTATTTTTGTCCTCCGCAGCCGTAATATGCACTCTGTAACAACAATATTTGGGGAAATATATCAAATACAGCTCAGAAATACATTTGCTAAATTTTATCGAGATCGGTTCAGATTTGAATATAGCTCCCATATATAACTTCGTCCGATTTAATTTGTATTGTACACCAAACGTCTAATATTTGTCCAAATGGAATGGAATTTGGCACATGTGACCGAATTGAGTCTAGAAGCTAGTATGCCAAATTTGATCGGTTCAGATATAGCCATAGCTCCCATATATATTGTTTATCTGATTTATTGTATTTGTTACCCACAGCCGTAATATGAACTCCGTAACAACGATATTCAGGGAAATATATCAAATACAGCTAAGAAATAGTGGAAGGTATTCAAAGTTCGGCCCGGCCGAACTTACTGCTTTCTTAACTTATAATATATTACAAGGAGAAATTAATTTTTGCCATTAATTTCTAAATGCCACTTAATTTGGTTTTGGATGAAGAAATAGAGCTAGAATTATGAAATCTGATATGGATGTCACTGTTGGTGTCTGTAGTTGGAAATACGTAATATGAATGTACGAAAAGTGTAAAATACCGTTGAGTGTTGCGTTAGAGTGGAATTCTGAAATTTGGTATTGAGGCGACTGTTGGTGTCTTGGGTGAAGAGAAGGAGGTGTTTGTCCTCCTTCTTATTGTATTACCAATAGATCCTCTCAATGAAGACCAATAGATCTTTGATGGATACGTATTATATATTTTCTTATAGAAAGCCTAGAGGTCTTCTTAGAAATACCTACAAGACCTATGATGCCTTATGATGCATAGAAGACTAACACGCTATATTTGAGAAGGCAACCGGGCCTTTTATAGGACAATAGCTCTTCTTTTTGAATAGGCTTTTTTCACCAAACAATACATTGCCTTCTTCTTCTCTCCTTTGTTATTTTTGTTGCTTTTGCTGTTTTCTTCTTCTCTTTCTTTTATTGGCTTTAGTAAACCATCAACTGGAGATATAGCAGAAGAATCGGAGGTACCTCAAGAAAATTTTGTTTTTGAATGCACATATCTATTGATCGGTTATAGATACACTCTTCAAAGTTAGATCAGTACAAAAATAAATTTTGCTAAGTGATTTTAATAATCGGTCTAGATTTGGATATAGCTCCGATATATATTCTCGGCCGATTTCACATATTTGCTGCAACAAACACTGGATGTTTGTCCGATTCCAATGAAATTCGGAATGAGTGGTACAAGAATATATTTACCAAATTATATTGAAATCGGTTCAGATTCCGATATAGCTCCCATATATATTTTCGATCAATTTCGTTTATTTGATGTACCAAACACAATATGTACATTCGATTCCAATAAAATTTGTACGGAATTTAAACAGAAAATAATGCCAAATTTTATTGAAATCTGTTCATAATTTGATTTAGCTCCCGTATATATTTTCGGCCGATCTCACATATTTCATGAAACAAACATTGTATGTTTTTCCGATTCTAATAAAATTTTGCAATGAGTGACGGAATTTGGTAAAAAAAAAATAAATTTGCGAAATTATATGGAAATCGGTTGAGGTCTAATATAGCTTCCATATAGAGATCTTCAAATCCGAAATTTGAAACACTTCCTGTAAATAACGTCATTATATAGATTGGTATCCTTATGTGGTGGCTATAAGAAAGCGTAGACCCGGCCCATTTTATCCTTCCAACTTGCAAAATACACATGTGTGCAAAATTTTAGCCTTTTATATCAATTCGTTCCAAAGATAGCGTGATTACAACAGACAAAGGGACTCACTGAAAGACAGACGGACAACGCTAAGTCGTCTTAGAATTTTACGCTGATCAAGAATATATATACTTTGTTGGGCCTGACATGACATTTCTAGGAGTTACTTACGGAAGGACAAAATTAATAAACCCTCCATAGTATTGTGGAGGGTATAAAAACAATATGTGTTCGAAAGCATTACAATAAATACATTTGTATACCCTACAACACTATGTGTTGGGGGTATTATAAGTTCGGTTGGGCCAAAAATTATGTAACACCTCGAAATATTGGTTTCCCACATAGGAAAGTATATATGGAAGTTCCTATCTCGCCGAGCTGAGTCGATCTAGCTATGTATGTCCGTCCGTCTGTCCATGTTAATTTGTAATCACTCTACAGGTCGCAATTGTGGCCCAATCCCCACGAAATTAAAAATTGAGGGGGGTTAGGGCCAGAATAGAACCCTATCATTTTTGGAGATGATCGCATAATATATATGGGTTGAAATGGACTAAAAACTGAAAAATTTCCTGATTTTGCAGTTGCTCTACAGGTCGCAATTATAGACCAATCGAAGCGGAAGTTAACACGGCTCTAGGGATCAGGGCTGGGCAGAAATTTTGAGGGTCATCGGGTAATATTTAGTGAGTGAAATAGACCATAACATTTGTGTTAAAGTTAAATTTTCCATTAAACCTCGAATATTTTTAATCCCGGCGAAATCACAAATAGACGAAAAGGTCAATTCTGATAAATATATCGGATATATATAGAGAGATATATACAATGTGTATATACAAAAGGAGGGTATGTTAGCTAGAATGCTTATATCTCAAGAATGGCTGGACCGATTTTGACAAATGTTGTCAATTCTGAATACCCTCTTGGCATAAAAGTATAAAATCTAAAAAATCGCATAAAAAGACGCTTATAATGATGTTAATATTGATTTTGTAGTATTTTGTGACATTTTTTTTATTTTTTCATATTTTGAAAATTTTTGTGAGGATCAGACAAAATATTGAAGTGTATATTTTGTAAAATTTTTTCACCTTACAACACAGGTTGGGGATATTATATACAGATTGCAATTATCGTCCGATCCTTACGAAAATTTTCACGAGGATAGGGTTAGGCTCAGAAGGTCTATGCCTATTGTTTTCAAAGATGCCCGCAATATATTTAGGGATTGAAATGGACCAACAACTAAAAATGTTCCTGATTTTGCATCCGTTATAAAGGTCATCAATAGAAACCAAAGGACACGAAATCTCGCATAAAGTTAGAGGTTTGAACAGCGGGTAGAATAGACTATAGTAGTCCATTTTTGTGTGAAAAAATACCAACATTATTTACAGGCGATATCTTCTAAAATACACAAAAGGTGAACTTCTGGCTTTTTGGCAAATATCGTAGACAAGCAAATCATATGGATGGGTTTCAATTTGGAAATGCAGAGGGGCCTCTTGCTTTTGGAGATGATTGCAAAATATTAGGGGTTAAAATGAACCAAAAAACAGAAAAAATGTCCTGATCACACAATTGAAGCCAATCGACACTCCTAAGAAAAGAGTTAAGGAGAGGGAAGAATTCTAGCATTTTAAATGACCATTGGATTATATTTAGCTGTAAAATGGACCACAACAACTAACAGCACGGCGGAGTGCGTAAATATTGGGCAAATGTCCCTTGTCACAATGCTAAGGGTAATATCTGGGCAGTGCTCCGTGACATAATTACAAAAGCGAAATCTTCCAAAATGGATTTGGACATAAGAGGGCTTCTAACATGTTATAGTGTTGTAGGGTATCACATGGTCGTCCCTGCTCGGCTATAGACTTTGCTTACTTGTTATATTCTTGAATTTGTTTTTTTTTTTTATTTAAAACCCACAAAATATAATAAAAATAAAACAGTGTTGGCTTGTTTGTTCGGGATACCGTAGTTGTTTTTATAAAAACATCGTTTGTTTATTAGTAGAGAACGATGATAATGTTTAACAAGTGGAGAAAGATGTAAATGTTTATAAGTGCGGTTGTAAAATTTAGAAGACTTTCCAAAAGAATTTCAGTTTTATTTAATTCTTTGGTTCCTCTTCTATTGAGCTTACGATCTCGTCAATTGGGTAAAAAAATGTTTTTTTGTCATAGAAGTTATTTTTAAAATAACTTCTGGGGAGAATATCCTAGACAAAAAACAAGGGAACTGATGAGGATTGGTGGCTCTTTCCGAAACCTAGGTATTCCCTGCCTTACCCCCTGGTAAACATTACCATCGTTCTCCACTAAAAAACAAAGGTTGTTTTTAAAAAAACAACAATAAAGGGATAAAGCCTGAACATTTTGCAACAACAATATAATAAAAATAAAATTTGAATTGCATATAAAATCTAAAGGATTGGCGAAGTACACAGTCTTCAGCTATTTAAATATAAAATTGATGTTTCAAAAATCCTCTCTCCCTGCCCCAAAGAAAAAACCTGGCAACCCTATGAATAATTTGAAATGCAAACTTACCTTTAAGAAGAAGCTTTTGCACAAATTCCATTTACTTTGTGTATTCGTAAACAAATGGCGGCCTTTTTTTGCGTTTCCTCTTTGACTTTGGAATTCTCTACTTTTTCGCGGTTTGCAATAATTTTCGGTTAAATATTTAAATTGGTGTTATGTCTTTAATTGAACTTAAGAACTGTTAAGGTCTGTATTTTTTTTTTTTATTTTTTATTTATTAACTGTTGTAAATTTCATTGTTAAATTCTCACTCGTTTTTTTTTTTTTTTTTGTTTTATTGGATTATATTTGGTCCATGGAACATTGTATTGTTGTTATTCAGAGAGAAAGTTAAGAGAGAGAGAGTTTTCCTTATTTATAAAGAATTTTTAATTTATTGTTAAATTATTAATGATGACTTTATTTAAGTGTTTTGTTTACCCTCGAATCTGACAGTTCTGTTGTATTTTCTCTCCCGTTTGTTTATTGCTGAAAGCGAGCGGGAAACAATGCTGAGAGCTTTTCTGGTTTTGTTTACCTTTTTTTCTGGAGTACATGTGTGTTTTAGTTGACATAAATCTTTTGTTTTGTTTTAGTGTCACACACAGCCATTGGCATTTTTATTGAGAGCACAAATCACACTCAGAGAAAAGAGAGAGAGAGAAAGTTTTTGGAATTGTGAGACCACTGAGAGCTACCACTTTGCAGGGAAATAATGTGCGTATGAGAGTTTGTGACATAAATGGTATGAGAGAGACGAGAACGATTGACAAAAGGACCCAAAGCTAATATTTGACACAGTTTGTTTTGAGGAAATTTCAATGGTATTTTCTTTTTGTTTTGGCAGTATTTTTCTTCTTTGTATTCAAATTGTTATTGTGATGCGTATTTCTCGGAGTCTATAATATATTTATTTTGCGGTTAATGTTGACTTCTTCTGCTCCTTTTCTTGTTTTTTGGTATCCTTTTAGTATTTTAATGCGTAATAGAGTTATGGATTTGGAATTGTGGAATTGGCTATTGGATTTTCTATTTATTAGTGGTCTGTACTTTTTTTTTGACACTTCACGTTGTGGGAGTAGAACTTTTTTATTTAAATTTGGACTAACATTGAACTATTGTTTTTGCGTTTATTTCACTTAAATTTGTTTTAATAAATTCCCTAAATGATTATTCGTTATGGTTATCGGCTGTTGTTTTTGTTGCAATTCTTTACCCGTGACCAGTTTTAGTTACTTCAATCGAAATATTATTTACTCTAACTTATGTATGTAGGTATGTATGTTGTATAGCTATGTCTATATTTTCTTTAATTATTCTAGTCTTTTGTTTATTAAATATTATAACGAACTACAAAAATTGGTGTTATTCGTTTGAAACTAAAGCACAAAGTTATATTTTACTAGGGGGTGGAGGGGTGGTTTCCCCTTTATCTAATTACATTCAATTGCTTGGGTATGTGTTTCTCAAATAAGTACAGCGGTACATATGGTATTTTTTTCTAAATATTAAATTTTTGTCACATATCTATTTCTCTTTTTTTTTCTTGCTTGGGTCTTGGAATTTCACACATAGACCGCCCGACCGACCGACCGACGTATCACAGAATTTCTTGCTTAAATTTTTGCTTGAAAAGTTCTACATTCTTAAATCCCTTTCCTTTTGCTGACGATTGTTTCTCTGTTCGTTCCTTCTTTGGCATGAAAATGTCCTTTTAACACCAATATTGGACTTCTTTTTCGTCGTCGTGTGTGGATGTGTGTGTCTAAAGACTTTTTTCGTTTTGTTCTTAGGATGACCGATTAAAATTGTGGTACCCCAACCACTTTTTCCCATTTTTTATTAGCCTTCGGCAACATTTTTATTCATTTCACAGATATGTTGCACATTTTTTTAACACATTTTCCTTCTTGTAGTTATTTTCTTTTCTTTCAAAATTTTCCAATTTATCCCATTTTTCCTCAATTTATAGTTATTTGATTGTTCTTCCTAAATTATAGTCTATTTAGTTGTTTCGTTCGTTTTTGCTTAATATTAAGTTGTTCTCTCCGTTAAATCTACACCGATACTAAAGAATGCCTTTGACATTTCGGCAATACATTGACCGACATTTAAGGCGCATACCACAAACACCAAGAGAGCCATTGGTACAAGAGTAACATTGAGAGCGAGAGTGGGCCAATTGTGTTTGTTGGCATTTCCAAACATGACAGTGATTTCAGCGTTTCATTCAGAAAACGTCCAACAACCCACTTCATTATGACATACCACCCATGCCATGTGCTATTATCATATTTCCTGCAACGCTGCTCATGAGAGTGCAATGGAGAGAAAGAGAGTGTGTGTGTGTTAAAACGGAAACCATTGAGAAGTAACATGAACACATTGGGGTTGCCATGTAGTTTTATTGAATATGGGTGGTCAATGGTATTATGTTTAATAGAAAAAAAAAATAACTTATAATTCGAAAAAATAATGTTGAATAATACCATGTTCACATAGTAGGTAAATCACTGGCTAATTATAAAATATCAATGAATTCCCCTAACATTATTTTAAGTAATAATTACATCTACGCGTAAATATATATTCCTAACAAATGAGAACATTTCTCGAAAAAATAATCTATACTATAAAAAACTTAAATTTTAAAACTTTTCAGGAACATTAAAATCATGAATTTAAATATAAAATATTAAATGATGTAAATGCACTCAAATAAAAATTGTTTTTATATTTTTATTCCTCTTTAGATACGAGCTTAATGACCTGATATGTGCAGCAGCACTATAACTAGATGTATGCATTGGAAGCAATGTAACTGTTGTGGATAAAAATCCATCACAAACTTTGCCATGAAAAAGATTCGCTAATTCGAACTTGGAGGGTTTCTGGTGTTTAATTTGCACATTCTTAATCACAATAAGTTCGAAATAAATACTATTTACCAAAGAACGACCTTTGTAAGGCGTCATCCACACCAAATATGCCTGATGAGCAGCTTAAACAACGACGAAATACGTCGCATAGTAATGGGTGCGTGAAAGTGTATATCCGGTTTTCCTTTTGATTGCAAATTTTAGATCATTAAGCTCGTTTCGAAAGAGAAATAAACACATAAATCATAAACATATAATCTACGCCTTAACAAAGCAAAACTCAAAAATTAAAAACCAAGGTAAAAAGTATCAGTCGAATTTGCCGACAGATGTATACCCTCAGCCAATGTCTGATTATTTAAAAATATATTTTGACATGTGTTATGATTATTCAAACTATTGACCCTCTATGGAGTAGGTTCCAAAGGAATGGGCCAATACCGTATCTTTGGTATAGGAACCATATGACAGGTTTGGACTACATTGGTAAATTATTTCACATTATATGAGATATGTGATAATTTTTAGAAAATGTTGAAATATGCGGGGGTTACCTAAACGACCAAAGTACTCCATTTTCATACTTCATCTAATACAGATAAATATAATGCCAAAATTACAGGAAAATCGAACATTTATATTCAATTTTATGCGAAATCATAAATTCCGTATTCATCTCAGGTTTCTGGTTGAGAGAAATATTTGGATATAGCAAATTGTAAAGAATCGTTGACTTGTTTCGCAAGTTATGACAGATAAAAATATTAAAAATTGTGACCCTTTGTGGTTGAGGTACCAGAAGGGGTTCGCAGATATATAATCTTCACAATAGATGTGTGTAAGAATTTGAAGAGAGTGGGATGCTTATTTTGCTTTCTTTGAGAGCTTTGTTTTTCAAAATTTTGAACCATATGTGAGGGAGAAGAAATCGTCTAATCTCTACCATTTTTATAACAGATCTTATGTTGATGGAAACATTGAGATGCACAAAGTTCGAATGAAATCGGATGTTAATTTCGCGTTTTATGAGCTTCATGGATATTCAAAATGTTGAGCCTTTGGAGGGAGGGGGTAGGTATCAGAAGAAGTGGGCCGATATATCCCACCCTCTGAGCAGATCTTGTGTTAGTTGAAATATTGGGATGTGTGAAATATGAAAGTGAACCGAATGCTTATTTCGGATTTTATGATTGTTTTTGTTATTTAAAACATTGACCCTTTGTGGGGGAGGTACCGGAAGGAATGGTCCGATCTCTACCATATTTATAATAGATCTTGTGTTGATAGAAACATTGAGATCTACCAAGTCTGAAGGGAATTGGATGTTAATTTCGTGTTTTTGAGCTTCATGGATATTCAAAATGTTGAGCCTTTGGAGGGAGGTATCAGAAGGAGTGGGCCGATATATCGCACCTTCCCAGCAGATTTTGTGTTTGTAGAAATATTGGGATGTGTGAAATATGAAGTGAGCCGGATTTTATGATTGTTTTTTGTTATTTAAAACTTTGACCCTTTGTGGGAGAGGTACCGGAAGAAATCGTTTAATCTCTACCATCTTTATAACAGATCTTGTGTTGATGGAAACATTGAGATGTACCAAGTCTGAATGGAATCGGATGTTAATTTCGCGTTTTATGACCTTCCGAGCAGATCTGGTGTTAATTGGAATATTGGGATGTGTGAAATTTGAAGTGAACCGGATGTCTATTTCGGATTTTATGATTGTTTTGGTTATTTACAACTTTGACCCTTAGCGGAATGGTCCGATCTCTACCATATTTATAACAGATATAGCGTTGATAGAAATATCGAGATGTACCAAGTCTGAATGAAATCGGATGTTAATTTCGCGTTTTATGAGCTTCATGGATATTCAAAATGTTGACCCTTTGGAGGGAGGGGGGAGGTATCAGAAGGAGTGGGCCGATATATCCCACCTTCCCAGCAGATTTTGTGTTTGTAGAAATATTGGGATGTGTGAAATATGAAGTGAACCGGACGCCTATTTTAGATTTTTGATTGTTTTGCTTATTTAAAACGTTGACCCTTTGGGGGGGGGAGGTACCAGAAGGAGTTGAACGACATATTTCCGTTTTCACACCAGAGCTTTGATTCGTAAAAATATTGTGATGTGTGAATTTTGAAAAGAATCGGTTTCTTTCATCACCTTTTATAAGAGTTATAATTATTCAAAATGTTGACCCTTTGTGTGGGAGGTACTTCATGAAGTGTAGCGATATTATTAATTTTCGCACCTGACCTAGCACTGATGTAAATATTACGATTTGCATAGTTGGAGCCAAATCGGATTATCCTTTCTTTTTCTGTGCATCATTTTTTTTTTTTTTTTTTTTTTTTTGAAAATTTTAACATTTGTAAAGCCTTTATTTCTATGAGGCACGTTTTGACCGTATCAAATGATATATGTATACCCTCTCTAGCCATAATAACTTCTTTATGTCCTCTTATTCCAAAGCTAAAAGTTTTCCTCTGTTCCAGATATTGCAAGGGAAGGAAAATTGGATATCGTAATAAAAACTTTTACATTCTTGCACTTCTGGAACGATATTGATTAAACCGTTCAAACAATTCTACAATAATTTATACTAGCATGCTTGTAGCTTGCCAAATTTTCGAGATTTTAGAACCAGTTGTTTCAGAGTTAATTATTTTATTCTTGTTATTTATTTTTTTATTTTAATTTACTTTCAATTTTGATAAACACACACTTTAACAGTTTTTCACATGCTGTGCTTTAGCTTAGCCGAGAAATGCCTATGTAATACGACAGCATTCCTTAGCATGAAAACATGACTGCCTTTAAGTCATATCCGATTTCTCTCAAGAAGCATGAAAGGCAATGATTTTTTAATTTCGTTTTTGCTTTTGACAAAAAAAAATATTTTACACATTTTCTTTTGTTTTCCCACTTGTTTTATTATTTTTCTGATTTCCACTTTCACTTCAAATAAATTTAATTTCCTATCTATAATACGGCGACCGATGATCGAACACTTTGAAATGCCAAAACACAATGATAATAATTTGTTGCAATGTTGGAACTATGCCCCCATTTTTGGCTTTTAACACTGTTGCACAGTTTCACAGAAAGGGATTTGACAACGTTATATCTCGGCAGTTAAAGGACTGCATCATTCCATAAAGGTGTGTGTGTGTGTGTTCACTTTTTGCATCAATGTCTCCATCAATAGCTAAGCTAACAGTGTTGACAATTTACTATGTATGTGTGTATGTTTTCGTTTATGCATATACGTACGTACTACGTATGTGTGCATGTATATCTGTTAGTTACTGTTGGATTATAGACTGTCCTGTCCGGATATTGTGTTATTGCTTCAATTGTTGATTCCTGGAAAATCGGTGTTAGTTGAAGTTTACTGGTAGACGACAGGCCATCGTATGAGAAGAATAATATCAACGTTATTCTGTTAATAGATTTAGCACAATGAATCTTGTCCATAGAAAAACTCAAGAAAATTTTGTAACAAGAGAAGTCTTTAAGGCATCATCTGGTCCCTAAAATGTGTATAGAACAATATTTGGGGCAATCATTTCATTTCCTATCCCACCTTTTTTCATGATTCTGCAAAGGACTACTTAAGAAAATTTTTTTTCGAGACCCACATAAGTTCAAATCCTGAATTTTTCGAACACTGTTACCATAGATTCCTCCAGACTAAATATTTCGTGAAATCGGGGATTTTGAAGAATATTTCTTCATATCGTTTTTAATCGTAAATTTTTTAATTTTTTTCAGTTCAAATTATGTATTTTTAGCAATATTTTTGAAATAATGCATCTTTTAAGAATCATTTTTATTCAGACCAAATCATGAATTTTTAAGACAAATTCATGTATTTTTAAAAATTATTTTTTAAATGGTAAATTTTTAAGAACATTTTAGGAAATCGGTGACTTTTCATAATTATTTTTTAGGACTTAAATTTAAAATATAGTTTTTTACAATTGTTAATTTTTAAGAATATTTTGTGAAATTGTGGATTGTTCAAAAATAATTTTAAGACTTGGATTGTTTATGTGTATTTTTAGCGATATTTTTTTAAATCTTAGATTTTTAAAGAATTATTTTTTATTTGGGATTTTTGTGGATTTTTAAGAATATTTTTAGGTCAAATATGGTATTCTGGTGTTTTTAAATATATATATTTTAGTTAGATAGCGATTTTTTTTTGAAAATAGTTTTTTTCCATAAATCGTGAATAACATACTCCTATTTTCTAAAAATTAAAATTGTTGTTTTTTATTTAAAAAAATGTAAGTCGTGTATT